GCATTGACCTCAACCAGGCCAGAACCCCTGCACAAAGTCCCTTGGGGTCTTCAGGGTCTTAGTCTCTGTTTTTGTGACGGTTGTGAGGCAGAGGAGAGAAACTTTGGGCTGTCTCTTACACCGGGCAGGGGTTTCAGTCACACCCTCACCTCCTCCTCCTCTTTCACTGGGAGGTGATGTTACTCCTCCTGCTGGGGACGTGCTGGTGACACTGAGGGGACACCTCGGGTCACCCCTCGAAGGGACTGCAGGGTTGTGGTGGCTCCTGGAGCCCTCCCAGTGTGACAGCTGGGGGTTTGGGATTATGTGGTGATAGTTTAGGGGGTGGTTGCTCATTTTGGTGTCTCCAGGGTGGCTCACAAAGTCTCCTCCCATCACAGTAAAGTCAACCCTCCCAGACCGTGCCTCAGTTTCCCCCTCACTCTGCAGGGACCACCTGGATCCAGTGTTCTGGAATTGGGTTTATTTTGTGGGATTTTGGGACTGGGGCTACTGGGATGGGCTGGTGGGCCAGTGGGGTGCACCAGGATGTGTCCAGGCTAGTGGTCATGTGGGCTGGGGGCTGCAGGGCCAGGGGCCATCCATTCCAGTGTCCAGCTGGGATCCATGTCTCTGGTGTCCATCTGGTCCAGCATCCATCCAGAGCGGGACCCATGGCTCTGGTGTCCATCTGGACCAGTGTCCAACCTCTCCTGCCCCCACCCATCCCAAGCTCCCCAGGAGGGGCTGCTCCCCACTGCAGAGTGGACAAGACTCATGGTCAGTGCCAAGATGACCCCAAACCCCCTCCCACCAACCCCACCAGGACACCCACCCTGAGCCCTGGGGCCACTGGTGTCCCCTGGAAGCCAGCCCAGCTCTGGATCTCCTGGAAGAGGACATCCACAGTCCTGAGCCAGGGACTCAAGGGCATAAAGGATGGCAAGCACAGAGTCCATGTGGCACAGGGGACAGTTGTGACACAGCTGGCCACATGCCTGAGGGGACAGGGGGTGGGGGTGAGGGGGGTTAAGGGGTGAAGAGGGGGTTGGATAGGGGGGATGACTAAAGTCAAGGGGAGGGTGCCCAAAATTGGGGGAAAGGATTGAAAAGAGGGAAAACATCCAATTATGGGGGAAAGAATACAAAAGAGGGGGGGATGGACCCAAAATAGGGAGAAAGGATCCAAAATAGGG